GAGGGGATGGATGAGCAGCCCTCCGTCCTTCTCTGGAGCAGCTGGCGAGCCGTGGGCAAGAATAAAGCTGGAAGTGTGTTTGTGGCAGGAATTGTGACATGGCAGCGTGCGAGGCTGAGCCACGGAGGCACCTGGCAGGCAGGCAGGCAGCACGGGAATGGGTGCCACTTCCATGGTGGGCACGAAGGAGGACGGCGCTCCATCGCTGCAGCCGTCGCGGTGCTGCTGTTCGGGGAGGACGTGCGGTGGCAGCTCTGGGTGCAGAGCGTTCCTTGCCTCTGAAATCTCCTTATAGCCGGCGCTTCATCTTTACATAATCCTGGGTTTGGGAGTCACCCTTTCCCCGCTCGAGGATCCCGCAGAAATATCCCCCAGTGCACGCAGGCTGCGTGTCGCCGCCATCATCCGCCAGCAGAGCTCCACCAAACATTCAAGAATTCCATTTCCAGGCTGGCGTTCCTGCCTGCTCCCAGCTGCGCCTGGAAGGGCTGCGGCGGCTCCTGGCCCTGCGAGGGGAGCGAGCAAGGCTGGGAGGGGACGGGGAGGAGGTGAGGAGCTGGCAGAGCTGGCCCAGATGTGTTCTGCCATCGGCTGCATGCTGGGAACCCTGGTCTCCACCTGGCAAAGCCGCCCAGTGGGTTGTGATGCTTTGGGAGCATGGCCTGGCCATTGGGGAGGGAGCCTGGGGCCAGGCGTGCGTGGCCTCTGGTGTGTCCCCTTGCCCACCCCTCGTGCCCTCTCGTTTGACCTCCCTGGTGACACGGTGCTGTCACTCTGGCTGGGAAATGTCACCAGATGTCCCCTTGGAACCTCAGGCGTTGTGTTCATCGTGGCCAAGGCACGGAGCTGGGCTCTGGAAGGGGAGGGAGAGGCCCTCACCTGTGGTCCCCGGGCTCGTTGCTCACCCCCAGAGCTGAGGGTCCCCAGGATGGGGGGCTCGGGAGGTGGGGCAGGGCTGGGGGATGTCCAGCTCTGGGTTATCCCCTGTGTGGATGGTGTGGTGGGGCTGGTACCTGTCAGGAGATGCCACGGGAGGTTCAGCAAGCAGGAATCCAGCCGGGAGAGCTTTTTTTTTCCCAGGCAAGGGTTACAGCCTCAGCCTGGGTGCTGTCGTAATCGCTGGAGGTGGTTCAGGCCCTAATTTCCATGCAGATGCATTAAGGAGCAGGCGCTTGGAGCATGTTTGAGCCATGCCCTCACCCACAGAGGACCAGAGGCGGGTTCTCCTTTGCTCCCTTTTTGCTTTGTCGGGCCTGGAAGGACCGTGGTGCCCGAGCCAGAGGGGCTGTGCTGCCAGGGAGGGTGGGACTCGTGTGGCAGCCACATCGCAGTGCCAGGGCAGGGAAGATGCTCTGGCAGGTCCCTGCCATCGTGCTGGGCACCAGCTGAGCGCCCCAGGCCCTGCCTGGCATTTCCTGACTTCCACCCCCCTGATGCGGGTTCCTGAAGGGCACAGAGTGAGGGAATCATGGCTTTAACCCTTTGGGTGGGGAGGTGACATCCCGGGAGGATGTGCTGCTCTCCCGGGCACCTCTGAGCTCCCCTTGGAAGGGACCAGCCTCGGCTGCTGCCCTCCTCATCCCTTCCAGGGTGCTTGGAAGCACCACATCTCGCTCCACCAGCCCCAGGGTCACTCCCTTGGTTAGCAGAGGCTGCTGGGGGTGTCCTGGGATGAGGATTTGGGGGAAGCTCGATCCAGGGAGGCTGTTCCGAACGTGCAGGCAGCGTGTGATGGAGTTACTGTCCTCTCTCCAGCACGGAGGAAGGACCAGGACTTGCCACCTACCTGTGATTCCCAGCCTGGTGCGTGCCAGGCTTGGGTTCCCTTTCTCCTTGAGCAGGGCAGGTGTCAAACACCCTTAATGAGGATAATAAATGAGCTGCGAGGTGGCCATTAGCCGGCTGCTCTCCTCAGCATCCCCGCAGCCTCAGCCGGGGGCTGGGGAAACCCTGGCGGCCCCTCCAGCCCCTTTGGAGCCCCAGGGATGAGGATTTCCCTGGGGAGAGCCCTGGTGGCTCCTCACCAGCCTTGGAGGAGAGCTGGGGTGGGCAGGTCAGACCACCAGCATCAGGGAGAGGGTCTCAGAAAAGCTGCTGCCAGTGGGGAGATGTGAGCTCCAGTCCGGTGCCTGCCCAGGGCATGGCACCAGCCCCCTTCAAACACCAATTCTTCAGCATTTTCCCGGCTCTGTTTCCACCCAGCTGAAGGACCGTGCTCAGCTCTGAGGGACTGGCTTTGGGTGGGCTCGGGGCTGGCTGTGTGCTGCCAGCACAGGTGATGGACGTGCACGGAGAGCAGGAAAAGCCTCTTATCTCAGGAGGAAAAGCCCTGGCTGGCACGAAGCCGGTCCTTGTCTGAGACTGCTGCTAAATCTGCTCCTTCGAAAAGGATGGGCTCTTCCCTGGGGGGTTTTGTGCTGCTGGGCAGGACACACACCTGCACCTCTCCCAGAGAGGGTGACACATCCTGGGGACAGCTTGTGGCCCCTCTCTGGAGCAAGCAACTGCTTGCAGAACAGCTCAGTGCTTTGCTGTGTCACTGGAGGTGCTGGAGTTTGGGAAGTCCAGCCACCGAGGCTTGTAAATATTCCACAGGGATGATAGCAAAATGACTTGCTTCTCCCAGCTCGAATAGAGATATTAATATTTCAATACCTCTAGGTTGTAATTTACCACAATTTAGGAAGATTGAGCTCTGATAACTTGAAGCACCTGCCTTTCAGAGGCAGCCCCAGTGTCCAGCCCTGTGCTGGGCTTGGTGCAGCTCCCAGCTGGAGCCAGGCTGGGCTCCAGGCTGCATTCCCAGCAGAAACTCTTCCATCTCAGCTCCCCCAGCCTCCTCTCTTCAGGTTCATGTGAATTAATGCCCTCGATATGTAGGTTAGGGTCAGCACATCTGACCAGATGTGAGCAGTGATTTCTGGTTTAAAAATATTGCTGTGCTATTTCTAAATTTTTAATCTCTCCCAGTGATTTGGAGACAGTTTTATGAAACATGGAATTAGGATGGTGCTCAATGCTAAATGGTAAAGGAGATTATGGGGATTTAACTCTATACGTCTGTCACATAACTATTGCCAATCCCATAACCTCCATTTTCTATTAAAAATCCCTTTCCCCCTTTGACCTGAAAAAGCTTTATGGGTAATCTGAATTTCCCTGTTTATGAGGTATTTTTCCACTCCTCGCCCCAGCCCCTCACCCGTCCAGCTCTGAACCCTCCTGGTGCTGCCAAGGATGAAGATGTTTCCTCGGCTCTGGGTGCTCCAGGAGCTTTCCCAAGCTGTAATGTGGGATCTGAGGAGAGATCCTGGATGGAGCACGGGGCACAGCCGGGTGTCCTTGGTCCAAAGCCAGGCTGAAGGTGGTTTTTGCTGTGCCCTGGCTCCAGCCATCTTCTGCTCAGCTCAGGCTTAGCCACAAATAGCTCTGTGCTGCTCGTGCAGGCTTTGTTTCCCTTCCTCTGCCTGCAAATGTGCGTTTTTTTCCCCTTTCATGTATTTGGGAGAAGCACCGCGCTGCTGGGATGAAGGGAAATGCTGATTCACGACGACAAACCAGCCTGGAGATGTCACAAAATGACATCTGCAGGGCCGAGCGGTGGCCCCGTGGCTCCGCAGAGGCTCGGCTGGAGCTTTGCTCCTCTGTCCGTCCGTCTTTGGTGCTTGTCAGCCAGGGAAGGAAAAATAAATGGCTTTGTCTCCTTCCACCTGTGTGTGGACACAGGGAGTTGGAGAGTGGGGAGACAAGGAGATGATTTTGTGACCTCTAAATTGGTTGTCTCGTGTGATGGCACAGCTGGACCTCGCTGTCAGCTCATCCCTTCTGTGGCACAGAGGGCTCCCAGCGGGCACAGGAGGAAACCCGGTCATTTTTGGGGATGATTCCCAGCGGCGCTCACGGGAGCAAGAGTAAGATGCTGGAAGAGGCACGAGGTTGTAATCCAGCTGGGAGAAGGATGGAGAGGACTCTGCTCCCAGAAGGGCTGAGGTGTCTCAGGGTGTCCCATCCTGAGCCAGCTGAGGATTGGGTTGGTGGCCCAGCTCCGAGGCAGGACAGACACTTGGCTGGAGAAGCTTGGCTTGGAGATGGAGCAACCATGGCCACTCAACCAGCTCTTCCCAGGGCAAGCGGCCGCCTCCGGAGCCGAGGCGTGCAGATGAGGCTTTCCTTCTCCCCCCTGCTGCCGTCCCCTCCTCCCCAAGTTAAGGAATCGAGGTCAGGGAGGGTCCCCCGTGGCTCGTTGTGAACCGGCGGCACGGTGCTGATCTGCTTATTGGCTCTGCGGCAGCACGGGCGTGCGCTCAGCCGCAGCTATTAATACACCCGCCGAGGGCCCTTCCCAGATCCCTGTCCTTCCGCCCACTTGGAAAGAGTGCAGCTAAAAAAAGAAAGCGGATCTAAGTGACTGGGGCCCTCCTCATCCTTATTTATAGCCAATTTTGCTGGCTTGGGTTGGGAAGGGGTGGTCCTGGAGAGCGGGAAGGAGGGACCGCAGGAGTTGGGTGCGGAGGTCCATTCCCTACTTCCCAAGAAGGGAAGTTCTGTTCTCCAGCGATGAGAGCTGCTCCTGGATGTGCAGGTGGCCACAAGCTCTGCCTGGACTGTGGCCAGAACCCACCTCAGGCCCGTGTGGATGGTGCAGGGATGCCCGGGAGCAGCTCAGGCTGAGGGCAGGGTGGGCCTGGGCTTCCCTCCCTGTGGCTCTGGGAGAGAGGAGCAGCTCTGATCCCGTTTTTCCAGCCCCTCTCCTGGTTCAGAGGCGGTGGCAGGGTGGCAGGGGAGGTGTCTGCCCTGCCTGGCAGTGATGTGCACTGGGTGTGCTGGCACTGCTGTGCTGGGGGTCTCGGGGCTGCTGGCTGGGGCTGCTCCGGGCTGGGAGCTCACGGAATGTCGAGTCTGGCAGGAGGAACAGTGCTGGTGCTTGTGTCCCCGGGGCTCTGGGTGCTCGGGGCCAGCCAGGCACCCTGGGGAAGGCTCGGGGGCTGCCTGGGGTGTCCATGGGCCTGCACAGCCCCCGGCTGGCCACCGAGGTGCCTGTGATGCCTGATCCGTGCTGGCAGCAGGAGCGCTGGCCTGTGAAGGTGGCCTGTGTGCTTCCAGGCGTGCAGGGACGCTCCTGCGCTCCCCTGCTCCGCCGCACGCAGGGCTCGGGGGGTCTGGGTGCCACCAGGTGATCCCTGCAGTGACCCCCCCACCACTGTGGCCTCTGCTTTGTCCACAGCACACGCTGAAGATGTTGGAACCAGCCTCTACTTTGTGAACGACTCCCTGCAGCAGGTCACCTTCTCCAGCACAGTGGGGGTGGTGATCCCCTGCCCGGCAGCAGGGTCACCCAGCGCCGTCCTTCGGTGGTACCTGGCCACAGGTGACGACATCTACGATGTGCCCCACATCCGGCATGTCCATGCCAATGGGACTTTGCAGCTCTACCCCTTCTCGCCATCAGCCTTCAATAGCTTTATCCACGACAACGACTACTTCTGCACCGCAGAGAACTCGGCTGGCAAAATCAGGAGCCCAAATATCCGTGTTAAAGCAGGTAGGAGCTCCCTGTGGGCTTTGCACCAGGGGCTGGTTTCCCCCTGCTCTGCCCGTCCCGTGCAGAACCAGGGCTGCTGCGTCGGGTTCTTGCAGCAGGATGGAGCAGGGCAGAGCGTCGGGTGTCTGGAGAACACGGTGTGGCTGCGGCCGGCTGGCAGGAGAGTTCCTCTCCCCTTGAACCGGGATGGTCTCACCCAAGCACTTACAGAGGCTTTTTGCAGCTGTGGGAGGGGCTGGGCCACATCTGGCCATGCTGGGGTCCCCCTCAGTGTCCCACAGTCCAGTTTCCACTGCAGCACCCAGCCTCAGCTTGCCAAGGCTTATTAAGAATAAAAAAAATAAAAAAAAAAAAAAAGGAAAAATAAATAAAAAGGAGGAATATGGCAAAGAGCTGATTCCAAAAGCCATTATAGTAAATTATTGACCAGGCTGAGGAGGGCTAATAGCCCAGGAATGGCTTCATTATGTAACCTATTAAAAGTGGGGCTAGCAGAGGGAACGTGACAGAAGTGACTACAGGGTTTTTTATTTTAATGCCTTGTACTGTGGAGTAAATTGGTATTAACCCCCTTCTGCAGAGTGAATTATTTACCAGCACTCTCAGGTTACCTATAAACCACAGCATGGTGGAGGAGCAGATGGGGTGCAGTAAATGTGGAGCTGCTGCTCTCCTCATGTGGGCACGGCGGGGTTGGCTCTGCTGGGATCCCAGAGAGGGAATCCTGGCCCTCATCCCCTCTCCATCCAGGACTGAACTGTCCCTGCTGTTGGGCTGGGAGCTCAGCCCCTCTCTGTTAGCAGGAGATGTGGATCCAGTGAGGTCTCCAGGATGTCTCCAGCTCCTGGAGCTGCCCTGGATTTCTGGCAGTGGAAATGGTTGTGGAACGTTCCCCAGCTGCTGCTCCCTCCTGGCCATCCCACATCCCAGTCACTCTCCAGTGCTTCCCAATGGCAGTGCAGCACAGAGAGCCAGTTACAGCTGGAGAAAGCAAGCAATTAAATAAAATGCAGCAGAAACTGAAAATATGAGGGGAAAAAAAAAACCTCTGGAGTCTTGGGAAAGCTGTAGGCAACCACATGGAGCAGATTTCTCCAGCCAGGGGAGAGGTTTGAGTGGGCTGGGTGTGGTTGGGTGTTCCCCTCCTGGGGGTTATTCCTGCAGGCAGGAAAAGCCTGGAGCCCTGGCTGTGGGGCTGGCACAGGTCAGGGACACAGTGGGGCTGTGCCCAGGGTCTGCTCCCAGCTGCGGTGCTCGTGGTGGCAGGGAACATCCAGGATGCTCCTCGTGGTCCCTGCTGGCCTTTAAAGCCTGTGAATAAACCTCAGCTCCAGGTGATTAAGGAAGCTTTTGCTGGTTAATCTGCTTTGGCTCCACAGCCCCTTTCCGCGGCGGCTTCTCGCCGGGCCCTCGTGGCACATCTCTGAGCAGGGAGCCAGGCTGGAAATGCTGCCACGCTCCCACTGCTGGCTCAGCTGTGCCAGGTGTGGGACACAATGCCCACAGCGACTTCCCACTCAGGGAAACACCTTCCTTTTGAGGCTGCTGAGGGCTTTGTTGAGCTGCTCCTGCTCTGGCCAGCCGTCAGATGACAGAGTGAACGTGCATTTGTTGTGGTGTCAATCGTGCCCATGTCCTACAGGGCACAGTTATTGTCACAGTAAAAAAAGAGCTTAAATTTCAGGAGTTTGTGGTCTGTGTGTTGCTGGAGCTGGTGACATCTCTTTGTCCTGCTGGAGAGGCTGAGGTGGGTCCAGCTCACCCAGCGGGTGCTCCTGGAGCATTGCTGCTGGTCCAGGGAGCAGCACGGAGCTGTCAGAGGGATGTGCATCTCCCTGGGAAATAGGCACACGCTGGGAACGTGTGGCACAGCTGGGAAATTTGTCATCTCCTTCCCTTAAATATCCCTGCAGTGGCTTTAGGAGGGTCCCAGGCTCTGCCTCACGGGCTGTCTCTCCCAGGATGTGTTTTCAGCATCCAGAGGTGAAATGCACATTACAGCTACAAAATATCCTTGGTCCCCACACTGAGTCTGGCAAGCTCAGGTGGCGCTGGGGACCGGGGCAGGTCCCAGCAGCAGCACCTGGGCCAGATGTCCCTCTGTCCCAAGCCTGGCACCGCGTTCCCCTGCGGAGAATCCCTTCCTTTTCCCGGGAAGGTGTTTGGGAAGGAAGCAGCGTGTGGCTGGGTGGGCTGGTTTGTTTGGGAAACGTGGGATTCTAGCAAAAGGAAGTGTGTTTTCCTCCAGCACTGTCATGCTACCAACCATCTGCTTTCCTCCACAGTTTTCAGGGAACCGTACACCGTTCGGGTGGAGGACCAAAGGTCGATGCGTGGAAACGTGGCTGTTTTCAAGTGCCTCATCCCCTCTTCAGTGCAGGAATACGTTAGCGTTGTATCCTGGGAGAAAGACACCGTTTCTATCATCCCAGGTAAGAGATGTGCACCTGTTCTCTTGGAAATCTGACCTGCTTTGCCATGTGTGACATTTGCTGTCGTGGAGGGTCTGGTTTGGGCTTGTTCTCAGTGCCTGTGCTGCTCAGCAAAGGCTTTTATTGGTGATTTTGCAGCTCCAGGCTGGAGAGCGCTGCTGGTGTGAGCAGAAGTGTGGTGTCCAGGTCTCCTGGCTGCTCTGGCCATGTGTCCCTAGGGTGAGGAATGCTCTGTGTCATTTTGGCAGCACTCGTGCCTTGTCCTGGTTTCTGCAGGATGCACTGGGTACCTGGCACTGGTGCTTGGGCAACAGGGACAGCACCTGCCTGTGCCAGCCGTGCCTGACTCCTGGGGCTGGTGTTTGTCTTGTCAGGATGATGCTCCAGTCGAAATTCCGCCTTTCCCTGTGAATTTTCATAACTGATTTGACCACGGGGAAAGGAACTTGGTAAAAATGCCATCATCTCCCTTTTGCCTGTGATGGAACCTGCCTGGCCTGCCTGTCCCATGTCCCTGCCTCGTAGCCTGGTCCAAATCCCACTCAGAGCTGCCCCCCACACGTGGGGAAGGGGCTGTGCCAGGGACAGCATCGCTCACCTCTGCACAGGGACTCTGCAGGCCCAGGAGTTTTCCCCCAGCTATTTCCCTGTGATTTTTTGGCAGGTGTTCCTGCCTGGCTGTGGCAGGTTCTGGGCACAGCCTGGGGCCAGCTCCGTGTCCCCGTGTTCCGGGGTGACCCCGTGGCTCCTCCGCAGAGCCGCTATCGATGGCAGCGCTGGCTGCCCGGCGCAGCGTGTGCGAGCTGCTAGCAAAGCAATCAATAACTGCTTCCCTGGGGGATCCAGAGGGAATTAAAGGATTTTGCCCAAAGTGAGTGCTCTGCGCTTGATATTTGCTCACAGGTCAGAAAGTCCCGGTGCTCCTCCGCGTCTCAGCGCTGCCACGGGGAGCGGAGCCAGCGGGGCTGGGGCTGGCAGGAGGAGCTGGAGGAGCAAAGTGCTTCACCTGGAAGGGGGTGGCCTGTTCTCCTGGGGGCTGTGGTGGCTCTTGCTGGTGGGCTGTGCCCCCTGAGTGAGGCCAGGGCGCTGAGGCAGCACAGCCCATGTGCCTGCAGGTGCCTGCTGGTGGTACCTGGGCAGGCACCCTTTGGAGGGGACAGGCTGGCACCGTGCCCTTGCCAGCCTTTCTGTGGATGTGGGAACACGAGCTGGGGTTCTGTGCGCTGGGAGGGAGTGAGGAGATCCTGGTGCCCATCCCTGGGGCACTGAGCTGCTCACCTGCTGCTCCTGATGCATTTTGGGCAATGCAGGTGATGCTCTGCCCGCTGTGGGCTGCTGCCTTTGATGAGAGGGGCTGGAGGTCCATCAGCAGGACAGCCTGGGCTGTTGTTTCCTCCGTGGTTTGGGAATCCTTTGGTCTGGGATTCTGGAGCGTGGCGCCCGTGTGGCCAGCGGGCTCAGCAGCGGGATTGCCAACTGAGCATCCGTGCACTCGCGTGATCTTAACCAGACTTGTTCCCAAGTTTGCTGTGGCAGTGGATTTTTTAATATGATGATTTAATTAGGGTGGAACGATTTTAACATTCTAAAGCAATAATTACCCTAAAGACAGAACATATAAATTGTGTTACAGTGCAGAGTCAACACAAGCAAACATGTTTTGCCGTTGGATTACAAATATAGTATCTGCCTGAAGCTTTTTTTTTGTTGTTGTTGCTGGTGTGTTAGAGCTAAAATTGGCTTTGCTGTTACCAAAAATATGTTTTTTCCTGACCTCTGCTGAACCTCTGCATCTGCCCTGATTCTGAGTGAGGAGGATGAGGGGAGGGAAGGGGGTGGAGGTGAGGAGGGCTGGGGTGTGGTGCTGAGGTCCCTGCTGCTCACAGCGCTGCCCGCTGTGACACGGACGTGCAGGAGGGCAGGGCTGTGCCAGGACTGCAGCACCTGAGCTGTGCTCACAGTGCCCTTCTCTGCTGGCTCCAGCACGCCAAACATGCTGCTTTCCCCAAAACTTTGCTCTAGTGCTCCCTGTGGAAGGCTGGGCATCTTCCCAGCAGCTCGAGGTGCGGCAGGGGAGGAACAGTCCTGACGTGCAGAGCAGGGAAAATCTCCATCCAGCTTCTTGGTGGCACAAAGCTCTTTTTAAGTGACTGTTGTCATAGTAAATGTCTTTCCCCCAACCAAACCTGCAGCTGAGAAATAGGGGCAGCGAGTGTTTCCCCTGGGGCTGCTCTTGTGGACTCAACCTCTGCCTCCATCCGTGGCTGGGGGGAACCTTTTGTGAGCTTTCTCAGGTTTTAGGAAGAAATTCTTCTCTGGTACAGGTTGTCCAGAGCAGCTGTGGCTACCCCAACCCTGGCAGGGTCCAAGGCCAGCTTGGACAGGGCATGGAGCACCCTGGGACAGTGGAAGGTGTCCCTGCCCATGGCAGGGGGAGGAACAAGATGGACTTTAAGGTCTCTTCCAAGACAAATTGTTCTTTAATTCTATGACTGAATCATCTTTTTTTTAATTAATTTGGATTACAGGGCTCTCAACCTCTCACATTTTTCCAGCCAAACCTTGTTGCTCTTTTGGTGGGTGCAGAATCTTGGTGGTACCACGCTGGCAAGAGCCCAGCTGGAGCTGCTGCCTCCCTCACCAGGGCTTGGGTGATGAGTTGTGCTGTTTGGTTAACTTGGCAACACCGTAACCTACCCCAAAATCAAAGATAAACTCTTTATGGCAGGTTATCCCGCACGTAAATCATCATTAGTGCAGCTCATTTTTGTTTAGTGCCCACCTGACTGTGCTGCCGTGTGTTTAGAGAAGTCAAGGGTTGCCGAGAAATTACAGGGTTTTCAAAAACCCATTTGCCTTGCTGGTGCTCACATCAGAATCAATCTTGCCTCGTGCTCCAGCCTTGCCACAGACACAGCTGTGACAGGAGCGGGCCTGGGGGGACAATCACACCTCAAACTCAGCTGCTCCTGGTGCATCATGGTGTGTGTTTGAGGTGCTGGCTGGGAGCACAGCAGCCCAGCAGAGAGTTTTACACATCCTTCACCCCTTTTCCGTGGAGTGAGAAAATCCTGCTGGAACATGCTTTAAGAACTTGATGTTGTAAACAGCTTTTCTTCCATTATTTCATTATTATTTCCTGTGGTGGTGGCAGTGTGCAGGTGTGTGAGCACTCCTGGGGTGCCTGTCCAGCTGCAGTTTGCAAAAACAACACGGGGAGCTACTCCTGACACCACAAAGTGAGGTTTGAGCGATTTCAGCCCCTCCTCAGCTGTTGCAAGGTGTTCATCTGGGCACTGCTTGGCTTTTGCGACCCTCTGAGCACACAGGTGCCCGTGGACCCGCACCCAGAGCGTCCCCCAGCTGCCTCAGGGATGTCACCGTGTCCAGCTGTGCCTTGCTGGGCACACATGTCGCCTGCCCAGGCTGTGCCAGTGGGAAAAGCAGCCCTGGGGCTGGCGAGGGCAGTGGGATTTGGAGGCAGTGAGCCTTACCAGCCTGGAAAACCCAGAGCTGAGCTGTTATTTGCTGCTTCAGTGTTGTGTGCTTGATAGGCTGTGTTGGAAAAAATCTAAATGGAGCACTTGTCAAGGTACCAGCGTTTCTAAGGGTGCTGCCTTTGTCACCAGCCTAATACAAATCCTCTGAGGGCTCTGCAGATGAGGATGTACTTAGTCACTGGTTATCCACAAAGCCTTTTTTCTGGAAAGCAAAACGTAAAGCTTGCCAGAAGGAAGGAGCTGGGAAAAAAAAAAATAAAAAAAAAATGAGTTCTGTGAAGTTTTAGAGGTGTTTGTGTTGTGGGCTGAGCCTTTCAGGAGTTTCCAAAATATCTCTGCCTGAGTTAATCTGTTTGTGGTGCTGCAGCTGGGAGCTTCACTTGACCTGCCTGGACTTCTCTGTCCCATCATCAGATGTCCTCAGGGCTGGTTCTGGGGTCCTTAAACTCCTCTCAGCAGCTCTTTAGTGGTGTGGGCAATGAAAGGGCAGCAGCTTCCCCTCGATCCCCCAAAAATGTTCGCTGTCCTCTGCTGCACCTCGCCACTGCTGCGCTTTTTTCCTCTGAAACTGCAGAAGTGGAACTGCACTCAAATCCCACTGTAATCCATCCCGGGACGTGGTGGGCACAGGGACCAGGCAGGAGGCTGGATTTCTGGGGTTTCTGGATTTCTGGGGTTTCTGGGGTTTCTGGGGTTTCTGGGTTTCTGGGGTTTCTGGGTTTCTGGGTTTCTGGGGTTTCTGGGCACAGCATTTCCCCCTGGGCGGGTGCTGCCTGCCGAGGGGCACAGTTGGGGATGATGCAGGGGGCAGAAGAGCCAGGACCCAGATAATTGGCATTGTCCTTGTGTCAATGGGCTCATTCTGGGGAACATCAGGCTCCCGTTCCTGGGGAAAAGCTGGGACAGAATAAACACGGCGAGGCCAGAGGCTGCCCTTGTTTGTGTGTTTGGCATGGCGGGGGGGTTTGGGGCAGAGAGGGCTTGCTGAAGGTTGGTGTTTTGGGTGGGTTCGGCCCGAATGTGGTGTGGCCCCGGCTGGTTTATGGCAGGAGCCGTGAGCTGGAGCTTGCCTGGCCCGAGGCCACCCCGCTGCCGTGTCCCCGCTGTCACCTGCGGGCTGGCAGCGGAGAGAGGAGGGAGCCGGCTGCCCCCGCCTGCCCTGCTCCCATCGGTGTGTGCAGGGAGAAATCCCCGCTCTGGCACTCCGGAGGGACCGCTGGCCACAAGGCTCGGCCTTTTCACTCGGTTTTTGTCGCCTGTGGCCGGGCCGGGCAGAGCCGCAGCGCGGAGCCGCCTGATGTGATGGGAGCGAGCGGCGTCCTGTCCTTCCCTGGCTGCGGGGACAGCAAAACCTTTTCCCCTGTCGGCCTCCAGATCTCCAAAGGTGTCCTGGCTTCTCCCCCACCCCTTGCCACCCTCTCTGGCTGCGACATGTGCCCAGACCTGTTACAGAGGGAAGTAGCTCCAGGCGTTATTCTCACCAAGTGGGGTGAGATTCTGTCTGAAATCATTTCATCCTTCCCCAGAGACTTGGC